ATTATTAGTCCAATTACAAATATAATCTAAAAAGGAACAGACGGAAAACACTAATTCGGGGCTTTTATGCTGAAGGATGTGACCGGAAGCTGTTAGCCGAAATAAGCTAACATGACGCCGGTGACTCGGAGCGAAGAGCCGCAGCCCCGTCCTTTGAAAAGTCGCTAAACTAACCTGAAAAACGAACTGTAAACGGTGTCCGTGGCTTTAAACAGGCCACCAAAACTTTAGAGAAGTTTCACAACGAGCTGACAAACTGTTCTACAGATTTAAAGCCGCGCTTCGTGTTGGAGTAAGTTCGCCGCTAACGTTAGCTAACCGCGCTATGCTGCTACCGACGCGAAGCTGAGCTAACAGGATTAGCTCCGGGAGCTAAACACAAGTTAAAGGTGGTTAAATGGCAGCGAATCGGAGCAGCCGGTCCAGCCTGGCAGGGCAACTGTGAAGGTGAGCGTCTGAACCACATATACCTGCTGCTGCTGCTTAAGGCTAACTGTTAGCAACCTGGAGAGTGACGGCAGGTACAGCGGAGACCTGCAGGTGTCACCTGGACAGGTATTTAGATACGTGTTCAAACGGGACAGACCAGCACACAGAACTCCAATGACAAGTCTTGAAATTTTACAGGTAATTGGTCTTCCTCTGATTAAACAAGGGTATCTATCTATCTATCTATCAGCACACAGAACTCCAATGACAAGTCTTGAAATTTTACAGGTAATTGGTCTTGTAGTAACGATAAATTCTGGCTTATAGATCACCCCTGAGTCTCATTAACTGCCCCACAGTACAGCAAACAAAAAGCCATTGATAATTCCTAGAAATTTAAGTTAATTGTCACTGTGATGAAGCGAAATGCTGGCTTACAGGTGACTTCTGAGTCGTGTTACCTGCTCTCCAGTACCCTATACAGAACTCCATTGACAGTTCTTGTAGTTTTAAGTTAACTGGCATTGTAGCAGAAATGAATACTGGCTTATAGGTCAGTCCTGAGTGTTGTCAGCTCATCTTCAGTTCGGTATACCAAACTCCATTGATAATTCTTGCAATTTTAAGATAACTGACATTGCAGTAAAAATGAGTACTGGTTCACAGGTCACTCCTGCATCTTGGGAGCTCATCTACAATTCAGTAAACCTAGCTCTATTGATAATTCTTGCACAAAACGCAAAAGTCCACAGATTATTCTTGAAATTTTAAGTTAATGGGCATTGTAGCAGATCTTGATGGTGGTTTGTAGATGCCTTGTGGGTCATATGATCTGCTTTCCATTTCACTATGCAAAACTCCATTGATAATTCTTAAAATTTAAAGTGATCTGCCATTGTAGCAGCTATGAAAATGGCGTACAGATGACTCCTGAGTCTTTTGAACTGCTCCCCAGTTTGGCATAGACCCAGCACACAAAGCTATGTTAGTAATTTTTGATGGTTTAAATTTAATCAGAGTTATGGCAGTGCTTAATGCTGGTTTATAGATGACAGCTGGGTCGTCTTCCCTGCATGGTTCAGCACACAAAACTTCACTGGCAATTCTTGAAAATGAAACTGACATTGCATCAAGGATTAATCTTGCTGATAAATGACTCCTGCCTCTTTACAGCTAATACAGTTCACACAAAACTATTAATCATGCCTTAAAATTTGAGGTTAACTGTTATTTTAGCAAAGATTGATGCTGGCGTATGGATGACTTCTGAGTCCCTTGAACTGCTCTGTAGTTTAGCGCACAAAAGTCCACTGATTATTCTTGAAATATGAGGTTGTTAGGCATTGTAGCAGTTCTTAATGGTGGTTTATAGATGTCTTTTGCGTCTTATGATCTGCTCTACATTGCAGCGTGCGAAACTTCATTGATAACTCTTGAAATTTTAAGTTAACTGGCATTGTGGCAGAGATGAGCGCTGGTTTGTGGTCGACTCCTGAGTCCTTGAAATTGCTCTATAGTTCAGCAACCACAACTCCATAAGGTTATTGGGGATTAGGTGACTCTCTAACTACACATCACCTACACATGATCTTGAGGAAAATTTTTCGTTTGTTCAGGATGCTCCAGGGGCCGTACAGCAGCCTGGACCGGGACAGGCCCCTCATCCGGCTGCCGTTCACCGACTTCGCCGTGGGGACGGTTCTGCTCCCTCTGGTCGGCTTCATCGGCTGCCTCTTCATCTCCCTGTTGTACCACTTTGAGGATGCGACATACACACACTGCCAGGTAAATACTGGTGTAGACGTCCAAATGCAGACAAGTGAACAGGAAATTTGTTTGTCTGAACGCAGGTATGCTCTTCCATCTCAAATCATCAGGGGCCTTCTGCTAGACCATCTCTGATTTGCTGGAAGCTTCTTTTAAATTTCAAACAATGTATATTTAAAATGGCCTCTGTGAAATTTCTGCTTGATATATCAAATACTTTCCAAGATCTTTGAGCATGTAACAAGACAATTTATAATGAAGAAGTCACCTGGTGATATCTGAACCAGATATGCTGCATGCTCCAATTATACAAAACAAAATATGTAGAATTATTGTTTGTTATGAAATACATGGTTACACAAATGAGAAAAACTGTTATTTGGGTTGACCTTCATTAACTGATTGAGCAGGTGTGACATATTGTACCACAAAGACTAAAATATTGCAAGAAAAACTGAACTAAATAGAGCAAAGTTCTGTACTTTCAAAATGGTTCTTAGAATATAACTAAGAAAGTCGATCAACAGGTACCAGGTTTCACAAATGTCTATTAATATCAATATTTTATTGATATAAAAGTTTCTGTCAGATCAAAAATGGTTGAGCAGAAGTAGCTGTAAAACTGTGATGATGATTTGAGGTGGAATGACCCAGTTATTTTGCTTTGTAAAATAGGATTTTGATAAAAATGCCGGGCTGCAAGGTGGCGCAGTTGGTAGCACTGTTGCCTTGCAGCAAGATGGTTGCCGGTTCGCGTCCCGGTGGGGGCACCGGAATCTTTCTGCGTGGAGTCTCCATGTTCTCCCCGTGCAGCGTGGGTTCTCTCCGGGTTCTCCGGGTTCCTCCCACACAGTCCAAAAACATGTTGAGGTTAATTGGTGACTCTAAATTGTCCGTAGGTGTGAATGTGAGTGTGCTTGGTTGTCTGTCTCTAAGTGTAGCCCTGTGATAGACTGGTGACCTGTCCAGGGTGTCCCCTGCCTTCGCCCTAAGTCGGCTGGGATAGACTCCAGCCCCCCCGCGACCCTAGTGAGGATTAAGCGGTGTATAGAAAATGGATGGATGGATGGATAAAAATGCCATTCAGCTTGTTTCTAGTTTCACCGATCTGTAAGTCATTTGTGTCTCATTGTCAGGTTGTAACGTTAACAAACTTAATGGCAAAGAAAACGAGAAAATTCACAACATTTTTAGCATTTACTGGGGACAATAACACAACATGCAGCAGTGTCTGATTGTCTGTTACAGTTAAAATGCTGCGTCCTGTCGGTAAGACAATGCTCAGAGCTGTTCTATTTGTTTCCACCAGGTGTCAAACTACCTCCCGTCCATCAGCGCCGCTATCAGCCGCGTCCCGGAGCGCTACATCTGGCGCTGCTGCATCGGCCTGCACTCTGCGCCGCGTTTTCTGGTGACCGCCGCCTATTTCACCTTCTACCGAAGCCGCTTCGCTAAGAGGCTGCCGGAGCTGCTGCTGAGTGGGCTGGCTCTCCTCTGCAGCCTCGCCGAAAACACCGGCCTGCTGCTGCTCACATACGTGTCGTCCACTGAAACTTACAGTGAGTACGAAGCTCTGGGACCAGCTAAGCTCAGCTTCCAGTCAGGATTTAACACGTCAGAGGAGATGTAATCGGATTTCTGTCAGTGGGACATTTGGCAAATCAAACAAACCAGATGTAACGTGTTAATCAGGGGATTTTGTGGAGCTTTGGGCAGAGCCAGGCTAGCTGTTTCCCTCAGTTTCCAGTCTTTATGCTAAGCTAACAGCTACTGCCGAGGAAGATGAGCAGAAGATTTAACTCAGTGTGAAAAAGGTGATGACGGGACTGTCTGTCTCCGCAGGTCTTCATAAAAACGGTTTCATCGTGTTCATAGGGAGCTCGCTGCTGCACATGCTCATTACATGCAGACTGTGGTACGTGATCAAGAGACACTACGTGAACCCAGAGGTAAACACACCCCCGTAATTTGTCTGATGTTCAATAGGTTTATTTGTTAATAATTTGTTAAATAACTCACACATCCACATAAAATATATATAAAAGGCACACAGCTGTAAAGTGTTTAGTCAGCAACATTTTGACCGATAGAATCTTCTTTGGATAATTTTTCTGCACAAATGGTCTTTTCAGCTATCTTATGTGTGTGAAATTGTATAAAACATAAGTCCGATTTAAATAGATAATTAAGTATAATCAAAAGTAAGATGAAAAAACCCCCAAAACAAATTAAACAGTTGTCACCTGCAGGGGGCGCTACTGCACTAAAAATCCACCACATTATCACAAAGCCAGATGTAACGCTACCAAACACTGAATCAAACAGGGAGCTTCTGGGGGCATTTGGAGGTTTTGTATGTGGTACAGTTGTCCTTGAAGAGTTTCAAGGATTGTTGAGGGTTCTATTCGGGGTCCCTAATGTTTACAAAGATGCTTGAAAACTTTTTCAGGGTTCCTTTAAGGGGTTTTTGGTATCAGTTTCAGTCTTGAGGAAGATTTAAGGATGTTTTAAGAGGTTCTCTTGAGCCGTGCAGTGATTAAAGGAATTCCTTTAAGCGGGTCAGTGATTCCTGAGGGTATTGGGTGCCCTTTTGAGGTTCTAGTGGACCTAGAGGAGTATCTGTGGTGCTTGAAATGGTTCTAGTTGCGATCATAGACGTCTTAAGGGATCCTGAAATAGATTTTTATAGCCCCTGATGTGACTGTCAAGTTCTTGAGGATGTTGTAGGGTGAGAAAGGCTCTCTAGATCTTTTTTTTATAGGCTCTCGGGGTCTTTGTTGTGTCTCCATAGAGGTTCTAAAAGTTTTTGGGGAAGTTTAATCGACATTTTAGGATGTTTTCTTCAAAGAATGTTTGTTGGGGTACTGATGTGCTGCAAAAGTGGTAATTTTATGAGGATTTAACTATTATTTGGTAGGTTCTTTTAGTTGGTGCAGTGGTTCTAGGAATTCCTTTAGCAAGTTTGGTTGTCTCTGAGGGATTTTGGTGCCTTTATTGAGGTTCTAGTGGACCTAGAAGAGTATCTGTGGTGCTTGAAATGGTTCTAGTTGCGATCATAGAAGTCTTTTGGGGTCCTGAAGGACATTTTGTAGCCCTTGATGTGATCATCGAGTTCTTGAGGCCATCGTAGGGTCTGAGAAAGGCTTGACAAATGTTTTCAGAGGTTGCCGGAGTCCTTGAAAGAGCTTAATTGTGTCCCCACAGAGGTTTTAAAGGATTTTGAGGAGGTTTAATTGATAGTTCAGGATATTCATGTGGGGTTTCTGGTGTGCTGTGGGTGCCTTTGTGGTCCTTTCAGAGAACTGAATAATCTTTTGAGTATTTTTTTTTTTTTTGGTTCGTGCAGTGTTTCACTGAGTTTCTTTAAGAGTTGTGCTGGTTTTTTAAGGCAGGTTTTTGTGAACCCAGAGGAGTGGTGGTTGAAATGGTTCTTGGAATGGTTCTTCTTACTTTGGGGATCCATTAACAAGTTCTTTTAGTGCTCATGTGAGTTTTTATGGGCTCTTGGTGAATTTGTGGTGGTGCCTCAAGTGACCAGGACGTTCTTGAGGATTTTAAGGGTTTTTGTAGAGATGTAGAGCCCAAGAAAAATAGACAAACATCTTCAAGGTTTTAGGATTTAAAAAAAAAAAGAACCTTTGGGAGGTCCTTGAGAACATGTCATGTCATGAAGTTGAGTCTGTTTGCCGCACAGAGTGAAGTGTGACTATGAATAAGATTTAAAAGAAAGAGGAAGTCCAGATCAGGATCCATTTTGGTTTTGTGATCGGCAGGTTATTAAAACCGTTGGGTCTGAAATGATCTCCGGAACAGAGCAGGAAGTTGACGTGTGGTTCCCAGCCGAGCAGCAAATAGACAAACAAGTTCCAAATTTAACGTCTGACTCGACACTATTCTGGTGCTTCCCTGTTTTAGTCTTAGCTGCAGCAGTTTAAGCAGAGCTCTGCTCAGAATCCCAGCGAGTTTGAGTTCAGAGGAAACAAGATCGGTATCGATTCCGTCCATTTGTCCGTCAGTCCCTTCAAACTGCAGCCTGCATGACGTGACCGCTGAACTTCCAGAAAACCTCAGCTGACTGTTATTTTAATATTTAACAAAATATCTAGTTAATTTCTGCTTAAAGTCAATCCTGCTCCAGTTTATGTGCGTTTAATCAAAGTGTGGCCCAGCTTTCCTCTTAAAATGCCAAATTACCTTTTCATTTAGGTTCTTTTTATTTTGACAAACTGTATGTCGCTGTCAAATGCAGCTCGGTACAGAACGTACAGAGGGACACATTCAAAACTGTAGCGTCGAAGTGGAAACTCTACCATGAAGAAAATAAATAAGAAGAAGGCCTATTATTTAAGTCAGTAGAGTAACTCCAAGGTAAATCCAAGTTTCTTTTAAACCCCTTAACAAAGTGAAAAGCAAAACAACTTATTTTCTCCTATGCGTGCCATTGCCCTTTGACTTCGGTGGGTTCACGTCACTGACTCATGGATGGTGAGTTTGTGAGACGAAACGTCAAAGTTATAATTACATTTATACTATTTTAGAGCAGAGCAGCAGCGTGAAAGTGACTTCTGGTTGACATGTCGCCTTACTGAGCCACGTTTCAGTCGCTGTTTAATACCGGTTCTGTTGTCTGACAGCAGAAACGGTAAAATACGTAAATGCAAACGGAATTACTGTATTAAATACGGTGTATAAGAGCACAGAGAGCAGGATGGAAGCTAACGGCTGTAAAGTGCCTTCTGTGTGGTTTCTTGTCGTAAGTACTTCCCTACTCTCTAAACCGTGGGTCTTTGGAAACGTTTACATTTAAATTGAACTCTTCAATGGAACCAAGAACGACTGGCAACGTAACGCAACGATTGTTCAGTGATAACGAAGAAAAACAGCTGTTATAATAAACTGATATCTTTTTTAAAAAAAAACTTATAAAAAACAGCAAAGAAGAAAAAGATGCATTGACAGAAGAGCTACATTTAGTGCAAATACAAGTTAAAGTTAGGTGGAATTATCCTTTAAGTAGCATTGAGAATGTCTTTTAAGACAAATCTGAAATAAGGAAACGGAAAGAAGACAAATAGAATATCCTTTATTAGTCCCACAAGGGGACATTTGAAATGTCACAGCAGCAGTGACAGTAAGAAAAGCAAGCAAACACAATTATAAAAAAAAAAAACATTAAAGAGTCATAGTGTACTGCATTTCAGTTTCCAGCCCAATTCCCAACAAAGCTGCTCTCATTTACATATTTTATTGTTTCTGTTATCAGAAAAGCGGAACAAGTATGAAACAGAGACTGAAATGTGGCTACTTAAGCATACAGTCTTTCCAAGCTGCTGCTCTGCTCCGCTAAACTGCTGATTACATTTGTTTTTGTTTTTATAGCTGACGCCATCGAACAAACTCCCCGTCACCGTCACCGTGCTGTGAATTCTGCTGTATTTAACTAGAAATCGAAGCTACTACCAAAGTCACACAGCACTTGTACAACAAGGAGAAAATAAACTGCTTTAGTTGCCCGGTGCTTGTAAAATATCCACTGTGTCTGTATTGGACTAGTTGGAAAAATAGTTGTGAAACCTGATTCGTTTTATTTTCTTCTGTCTCAGGAAATCACGTCTTATCGCTGGAAGCTGCGTCTCTTCGTGTTCAACGTCAGCTGCTGTTTGGCCGCCGCCTACTTCTTCAGACGCCACAACAATCACTGTGAAGCTGGAGGTTGGTCCTGATCAACACCATGATTGTTCTGCCGCGTATTCATTAGTATATTTTCAGTCATTTATACCCTTTTGTTCCGCTACGCCCCCTAAATGCTTGCAGATAGAAACATGTTTCCAAACCTAATGTGTCAAACCTGTTGAGGACACCTTGCCTATAAAGCAGTTCTTCACATATCCAGAAGTTGTAAGCGCCACCATGTGGTGAGATACGGCTCAGCTAATATCCCAAAATGTCCCTGCTAATATCTCAGCAGCCATGAGTCACAGACAAACACTGTTGTTTATGGATTCGGTGCATCATGCCAAAGACAATGCGCCCATTTGTGTCATCATTTTGTCATTTCCTGCCTTTTTGAATTTTTCTCAAACATAATTTTGACTCCATGTCCAACAAATTCCATCCAATCCTCACCAGACTCTGTACATACTGTGTTTAGGGCGCACTGCACATTGTCCATATGAGATAGCATGTATTGTTGCTCCATGATAGGCTAACATACCCGGCCAAAACTGTTTAAATTGCTACAACTCTTGTTGCTTCATCGATTTGAACCAAATTTGGCTCGCATGTCCATATCGAGGCCACAGATGAAAGCGCCAGGTGTTGTGCAGTTTCTATTTACTGCAGTAAATCAATTCAGTTTCTAAATAGAGATCTTTGCTGTCTCACTATGTTGAACTTTTGAAATGTCAAGAGTTTCCAGTCCAGTTTAGCTGATAAACAGCTTGTTGCTGAGTTACATTTTTGGTGTTTGTGGCCAAATCAATACGACTCTTGAACGGATTGTCAGATTTCAATCATTTCAACATTTGTACGTCTTTAGAGTGTGCAACATTGGTCCTTCTGCTCTGCCTGCTTAGCCTAAATCCCCAGAACTCTTGGTAGACGCTGGCGAACCTGCAGGAACACTGTTCTTCTTCACTTATTCACACGCTGTCTCTGTCTTTACCCTCGGTCCCACCCTCCCACCCTGTTTTTCTACAGTCTATACCCTGTTTGCCTTCTTTGAGTACCTGGTGGTCTTCTCCAACATGGCCTTCCACATGACGGCCTTCTGGGACTTTGGGAGCAAAGAGGTGATCGTGGCCACGCCGCCGGAGGACAAACGATACTGAGCGGAATTTTTTAATGACTTTTGTGGACACGTAAAGGTGGCTGTTGCCCCCCATGAACAGCTTAAGAACTGACTGATGCTTTTAGTAGGTGCGACTGAAGCTATACTCAATCATTCCAACAACACTTTCGACCTTCAACCTCGTAGTCAGAGCACACGTATAACGGGAGTGATGGAAACATGGCTGATGGCTCCTCGGCATTGGATGACGTGTTGCTAAGATCCCGCCGACACAAACTGAGTGACTCGTGGCAGGAGATCAGACTGTCACTTCATGGAAAGTTTTACGTCGTCTGGGTTTTTCCTACATAGAAGAATTTTTGATGCCCTACAAAAAGGCTTTAGCTGACACCAAAGGAAAATCACCAACACCGACACGACAAGAACTGAAGATAAAAATATAAATAAAATTTTTTAAACACTTATTTCATGGGGTTTCATTTACTCGAGTGTAAAAAACTGTTTTACTTATCAAATGGTCAAAAAATAGCAGCAAGATGCGCAGATTTCTGTAAAATAACGTGAAACAGACTCATTGGATTCATGATTACTGTCATGTGTACTTACTGTAGAACAATCCTGATATTAAATGTATAAATATATCTTTGATTTCTATCTTTATGAGTAATGTAGTACAATAATGATGCGTAAAATAAGAGTATGTGTTGTTGCTGTTTATTTAGTTGTTAAATGCTCTGCACTGCACTTAAATAGCACTTTTACACATTTACAAGTGCCATGTGATGTGCTCACCTGCCATCAGGACCAACTTGGTGGTCAGCGTCGGGGATCGAACCACTAACTAGTGCACAACCTGTTCTTCCACCTGTCGTTGGTTTACATGCTTGTAAAAAAAAAAAAAAATCTGATCGTAAAGTCATTTCATATTAGTTGTCATGGCGATCTAATCAATAACTCGAGCTGATGTGTTAGGTTGTGTCCACCCAAGCACCACAAAAACACAGCGCCTTGGATTAAATACAACCAAAGGTCAGTGTGTAATGTAAACACCAGCCGCTACCACTTCATCGCAGCTATTTTTTCACTCTAGAGGAGCAAAATTTGTGACACACTAGTGTGTAGCATCAACAGAGTTGTTTCACTTACTTTCTGGAAAGTTCAAGTTGAACTCTTTAATTCTGGTAAATTTACGGTGGCCATTTTGCCAGCATTCATTTGCATGTTAGAGACACTTCTAAATGTGCCTCTGATGAAGTTGGCCACCAACAAGAGTTCCAGAACTGAGTTGAGAACATGATGTCATGTGCCGGAACCTCTGAGGGGACAAATTCTGGTCACAGAGACAAAACTCTCACAGTTATCGACCTGCACGAGACCAGAGCAGCACTTTGAGACCACTCACGGCTTCTTGGTAACCAGCTTCTGCAGAAAAGTAAGACCCTCTACACAGGTTTAGTGTAGCACAGACCACCACTGTATCAGTAGCAGTGTTAACCATCAACTGTTTTGTTCCTGTAGTATCCTTCTTTTCTGCAATAGTGGCACAACGTGGCAACTCAAGGCCCAGAGGAGGGTTTCGTGGCACTCCTTACCGTGGAGGAGATAACACCCGGTGGAGAGGCCCCTCTCAGGCCGAGCAGACCATGTTTGTCTACCAGGACATGAACTTTAAACTAAAAGACAAAATTGAAGTCCTGGAGCGGCAAGTGACAGACCTCCAAGCGATAAAGACAGAGCTGGTTGAGAAAGTCAGCGCTGGAGAAGCCACGATCAGCTGTCTGCAGAGTCGCCTGAAGTCCAGCAAGGAGAAGGGAGAGGAGGAGAAAAGACAACTGTTGGCTCTCCGTGAGGAAATCAGACAAAAGGAGGAAAAGATCCAAGAGCTCCAGGAGAAAAACAACCTCCTGGAGGCAGACATTGCTCACCTCCGAGAGCAAATGGTGGAGCTGGAGATGAAACATCTAGTGTGGTGGAGGAGGAGAGGACAGTCCTGGAACAGCAGGTGAAAGACCTCCAGGAGGAAAAGACAGAACTGATTGAACAAGTCACAGCTGGAGAAGCATCAGTCAGCTGTCTGGAGAGTCGCCTGCTGTCCAGTGACGAGAAGGCAAAAGAGGAGAAAGAGGAACTGTTGGCCCTCCGTGAAGAAACCCAGCGAACGGAGGAAAAGAGCAATGAACTCCAGGAAGCAGACAGTGCAAACCTCAGAGAGCAAATGGTGGAGCTGGACATAAAAATTCTGGTGGTGGAGGAGGAGAGGACAGTCCTGGAGCTGGACAACCAGGAGCTCCAAGATCTCCTGGTCAAAAAATCTAAATGGAGACTTTTCAAGAGGCTGTCAGAGGGGGAGAAACAAAAGGTCAAAGAACTGAAAGAAAAGAAAAAGAAGGAAAAGAAAGAGAAGAAACAGAGGGAGCTGAAAGAAAAACAAGAACAGAAAGAGAAGGAACAAAAAGAAAAAGAGGAAAAAAAGAGGAGGAGAAGGTGCTGGTTCTTCTGAACAAGTCTCTCCCTCTTTCTCCAACTTCCATCTGCCTCCCCCATCTTCCCTCCCCAGCCTCTTGTCCTCACTCTTTCTTCCTCCACCATCACGTTCCACCATCTCCTCCACCATCTCCTCCACCATCTCCTGAACTCAGTTTCTGGACATTTTATGCTCATGCCATATTTTTCTTGATTGTGAGCTTGTTTTTTTTTTTTTTTTTCCTTTTTAACTCTTCTATGGAAGCAGCTCAACCAAGTACAAAGGGTATGACAGTTGCAGTGCCACAAATCATGAAAAAGAAGAAGAAGAAAAACTATTTACAGTTTTACAGCCTCTTAAAACTCGACAGTTCACACAACTCTGCACATCAACTCTATAAAGATGTTTCACCGTGCTAAATGTGCAGCTTTGGACAACTCTGTGTACCATTTTGGAGCAATGTTTGTTTTATTTTCCTGAAAGCTTACCTGAAAACTATCTGAATTTTTATTACTTGGCTGTTGGTCACAGCAGAGTCAGTTGTGACTTCTCAGTTGTGCTGAAGAGCTCAGAATTTTTTTGTTTTTTTACGAAATCTGTTTTGTGCAAACAGTTTTTTTTGAGAATTTATAATGAGACATTTAGAATAAATATGTTTTGTGAAATGTACCAATTTTAAGCTTAGATTTGGTTTGGCTTCCCAACCGAACCTAACAGGGAAAGTTAAAATCTGACAGTTCTTTTAGTTTTTACAGTTTCTGGTTCACAACTGGTAACATTTTGGTGATTTCCTTTCTAAAAGACAACCCGCCTTTCAGACTGAAGTTTCAGACGGTTCATGTAAAGTAACTGTTAGCTAGTTTACGACACTTCTCAAGGTAACTTTGAGGGTTACAGTCATCTAACCCAATACATGGTACATTTCGTTGGTCTGCAAGAAACTACCATGTTCATTATAAGAATTCCTGTAAAGTATAAATGTTGTACATTTGGTTGGATGGCTCTGATGCTCGGTTATTGATTAGACCAGCTGGTTAGCCTCCGGTGGCTAGGCTAACCATAGCCACATTAGCCAAAGATGCTTCAGAAGCTTGTAACCCAACAACGGAACAAGCAGTTTAACTTTCTTGGATTTTCTTTGGTTTCGGGTACATTTGTTTTGCTTTACATCTCGAGTAAATATAGGACTTAGATATGATATGAGTATATGTCATTGATTTTAAATTTCCATTCTGATATGACAGAATGGTAATGATCAGAAATTTCCCTGAGGTTTCCACCAAAGGGATCAATAAAGTTCTATTCTATTCAGTCTGATCTTACCCAAATCCAGCAGCATCTGTTATTTAAAGTAGTTTATGTTGATGGAATACCTGCGTCACACACCTGTACGCCACTGAACCACGTTTCGATCTCACTGCTGCTGTAAAACCAACAGAAGACTTCATTGAAATGATAGTTTGAGTGTGAAAATGTATTTTCACAACAGCATTTTAAATGTGCACATATTGTAACCGTGTTAAAAATAAGAATGAAAAGAGCATTTGATACTTGCCTTTTCCATTCTAGTTTAGACATCGCTGGAAAATTGCTGTTTCATTTATTTAAATTGTGACTCCAAAAGAGGATGCTGGTATGTAAATGTAAACGACCAGGAGGTTTATTATATTTGAATATTGTCCACTACACAGCAGGTCAGCCCTTTGGAAATGAACACTGCATTGTTAAACTGAGCTGTTTACATGACAACACCAAAATAAAGAGACTTTGGACGCCACCACCTTTAGGCTAGTAAACACTGAGGACCAGGTTCACATCATCAGCAGGTATTAGACCCCGCCCACTCGGCAGGACAGTAGCTCAGCGTCTGCTGCTGCACAGGTGTGTTCAATAGATGTGGTTTGACAGTGAAATGAGCTTCGTGAACAGCTGTTCCTGAGAAATGCTAAAATGTGAGATGATTCTAGATCGTATCACCTCTCACTAATTGTACTACTTGGCAGTTGAACGGCGGAGTATTTCTTCTTATGAACCATACTTTACGAAGATTATATTGAAAATACAGGCTCAAAAGTAAAAACTTGGTGCAACAAAAATCAGCACACCTGTGATTTCTAGTCAGTCTAGCTGCATGAACCTGGTTCCAAAAAAAAAATGTAAACAGCAGAAAAGTCTCCGTTTTGGACCTATGGACTGTGTCTATCTACATCATGGCTCCAGTAATGTAGATAATGAAGCTGAAATATCTGATTATGGGACTTCACAAAGCTGTGAAAGTGTACAGGAAGATCAGTGAGCAACTGAAAATCTGTGAAACACAGTTGCGGCTGTAATCAAGAGGTATAGAAGGAGCCATAGTAGCACTCATCAGGGCTGCAGCGGCCGTCCTCCTGAAATGACTCCACAGACAGTGAACGACTTTCACAATCGAACAATCATGAAGAGCAGCTACATCAGATTTGGCACAGGAGTTATCAATAGAAATCAGAGTTTCTGTGGAGCTCAGATGGTGTGAAGAACACTAAATAACATCAGCCTCATGGAGTTTAAGAAACGAAAACCCTTCCAAGCTCTTCAGCACGAAACAGCAAGATGAAACTTTGCTATAGAGCATGAAAGGAAGTCTGGTGTTGGAAGTACATTATCTGGGCTCAGATGAGGTCCAGCATGTTTGGCATGAACCTGAGCAGGAGGACCACAGTGAATGTATAGACCTGACAGTGAAGCACGGAGGTCACAGTGCGATGATTTGGGCTGCAAAAGGTGTTGGAAGATGACATGAATGTCTGTGCATAAACCAAAATACTGGCTGATAAGACGACTTCCAGTCTGCAGAATTCCATCCAAAGCACAGTTTCCATAGAAGAACTGTTGAAGTATTAAATTACAGATAATAAGAAACGAGGAATAGAAATAGAAATACCACTTTGTTGTTTTACAATGTGTGAAACAGTTTTACTGTATTTAAATCAGCTAAAAATATAATGATTTTACAGATATCTGCTATTATTTTCATAGCTTTTACAGTTTTTTAAACATTACTGTATAAAAGAATTTCCTTTTAGAGTGTAGTGTTTAATTTGACATCACAGCAAATGCCCTGCTGTTCAGCTGCGACGTAATCTGATTACTGTAAGGTGATATGACTGAGAACCATTTGACATTGAAGCTACAGTG